TGTGCTGGGACAGCAAAGCTGGTCATAAAGAAGTTCACTGAACTTCATTGTTGTCCTGCAGGGACAAGGTGTCTGCAAAGCTCTGACATCCCACAAGGTAATGGACAAGTTCCCTGCTCCTTGGTTCTATCCAGCCTCCTGGTTCCACCCCATGGCCTGTCACAAGGCAAGAGCTGTGTCTGAAGCAGATGAGCTGTGCATGGACCTCCTGGGGCCAGTGGTGATGAGGATGCTTAGGAGAGGTTGGTCTTCAGCACGGGGCGACATGGTCTTCACATGGCTGGGGGGCAAACTGCTTCACTCCATCACTTCTTGGCTCAGCTTAGTGCCATCATGCAGAGATGTGATAGACAGGATCCATTACTAACAGATGAGCCTAAAGCCCATGAGCATTCACAGAAGTGTCCTGATGGAGCTGTAAGGCTGTTGGGGAGCAGGCAGATGAACATGTCCCTGTTGGGCCAGCAGCCAGACCTTTCCTCCGCTCCCAGCGTGGGTCACACCATGCAGCTCTGCACTCAAGAGCTATCAATCAGGCACATCAGAAGGTTTAAAATGAGAAGAAATATAACTAGTACCTTCTCCAAGCAGCAGGTTGACCCTCCAAGAGAGCAGAGTGCCCAGCAGATCCCCGGAGATGAAACCTTCCCAGTATTATAAGATGAGGTGGTGGAGATGTCACCTGAGGCCACCAGTGATGGCACAGCCACTCTGGCTGCTGTGCTGCCCTCCTGCAGCGCTGTGGGCCACAAGGATAAACCACAACCCCCAAAACAGGATCCTTATCCCAGGACATCTGTGGTGAGGAGAAAAGCTCCTCACACCAAAGCCATCAAGCAACCCTCACTCAGCTGCTGTTTGAGCACGCACAGGGGTAAGGCAGAGCTGGCACTGCCCCTGCATGAGCTACTTCCTGCTTTGTTCCCCTTTTCCCACCCTCTGGAGGGAGGTTTGGGCATCACTTCGGGATCTCTACACCATCCCCCTGTAGAGAGGCTTTCCCCAGCACATAGACCTGCATCTGGTGGGGCCAGGAGGCTCAAAGCAGGCAGAGGAGCCTATTTGTCACACCACCAGCCCCACCAGTCTAAGCAGCACTGGTCCCCCAAGTAGAGGGCAGTTGGAGGCGAGACAGCCCCCAGGAGCTCCCACCTTGTTGATGTTGGGATGTTGCCACCCCTGGGAGCCCAGCTGAGTAATGGCAAGTGCAGACAGGCTTTAATAGAAACCTCCACTTGCTTCAAGGTGCTTAAACCTTCCTCCTGGGCAGCCCAGAACCAACAGCCCTTCACTTAGAGCCTGGCTGCAGACCCAGCTTCCCCACTGCATCCCAGGCAGCTCCTTTCCTTGGGTCACTGATTGGGATGAGAGATCCCAGTGGAGAAATAACCTGCTGCAGTCCAGGGGATGTGCAGGGATCAAGTTAAATCCCCTTTTTCAGCCCATTAGCTGCTTGCAGGGATTTCAGCATCATGATGGAGAACAGCCAAGAGGGAAGAAGTCCAACTGGGGAGACAGCTCCATACTTTAGGACTTAGGGATCAGACATTGTTTGGGTGCTTTTGCGGGGGTCTGACAGACAGAGGTATTTGAATTCTCATCTCAGCTTCCAGGCCTGGCAGCAGGACATGGATTGCTTTAGCAGAGCCCCGCATGGCAGCAGGGAACCAGACAAACCTGATCTTGCTCCATTCTATGCCTTGGAGCAGAGAACAGCACAGAAACCCAGAGCCAGGCATGCTGGAGCACACACAGAGGCCATGAGCAGCCACTGCCCAAGTGGGATCAACACCCCAGCATTCATTTTAACACCCCAGGGCAGATGGCTCCCATCATAGTGTCACCTACTGCAGCATCTACAAGGAGGACACCCCTTTGGGAAGGGCTGCACTGACAAAGGCAACATGGGAACCACCCTGCAACCACTGCACACACCCCATTATGAAGCAGTTTGGTGGCACATCAAGACAGGAGATGTTGTTTTGCTGGTCACCATTTATTCAGTCAATGTTGTGTATACACAAAACTTGACCCAAGAGGTGCTTTTGGCCAAGCTGTAGAGTTTTAAAGCCACATTTCCTCAGGCCCATCCCACAGCTCCCTCTTTGGGAAGGAATCACAAGATGAGGATGCCCAAAAGCTTCATCCGAGCCACCATGCAACAGCTATTCATCGTAAGACTTCCCTTCATCTGCCGAGTCCCTTCCAACCTCCTCGTAATCCTTCTCGAGGGCAGCCAGGTCCTCCCTGGCCTCCGAGAACTCGCCCTCCTCCATGCCCTCCCCCACGTACCAGTGCACAAAGGCTCTCTTGGCGTACATCAGGTCAAACTTGTGGTCCAGGCGGGCCCAGGCCTCGGCGATGGCCGTGGTGTTGCTCAGCATGCAGACAGCCCGCTGCACCTTGGCCAGGTCTCCGCCGGGCACCACGGTGG